AGACATATTAAATATTTATAGTTAATTCTATAAATTTTTTCCCTTATCCATTTCTTTTAAGATTCAAAGTACTAAGATTTAAACATTTAAAATATTATCTATATGTGACAATGATAACAATTATTATCCTTTTAATCATGCAGTCCAGTACTGGATTGGGAGTTAGTAAATGCTAATTTACTGTGAAGCTGCCTCTTGGGATCATTTTTAAGGCAATTCTGAGGGAGAGACTATGATACTCTCCCCTGAAAAAAGTACTGCTTACATGAAGCTTCTTTATTCAATGTCTGTAGTGTACCCTTTTGCAATACTTCATTTCAAAATGTTGACAAACGTGAGACTATTTTGACCAGATGGAAACTCAAATGAATGAATTAGAGAAAATTACTCTTTCACTCCCATTTAACATTCAGAAATTCAGTTCGAGTTTTCAGTTTCCAGGACCTGTGGTAAATAAAAGAATATACCATTGGAAATTCGAATAAACCATGGGTGGTTGAAAATTCGGAGCGATAAAGTACACATGTACACGTTTGGTCCCTTCTAGGTTGCTACAGTGAAGTATATTAGTTGCAAAGTGCAAGGGAATCATGACTTTTTCACAAGTTGAACACAGCCACAACATCCATGCCAAATGCTTTGTATAATTTATTGTGATTTCATTACACTGGCATTAATATGCAAACCCAGGAAAAGAGATTTAGACAACAATTCCAGCTGATCTAAATTCTGCTGCCTAAACTTAAAGGAGCTTAATAAACAAGCAACAAAAAATTGATCAAGAATAGATTCTTGTGACTGTGACGTCCATATTGTTGGTCCCAAAAGCACTACTCAGAATTCCAAGATCTCTTCTAAAGGTAGACACAAAGTCATAAGAAGTACTTTGATTCATCAGAACGAATAAAGCAAATAACGTACTTACATTTCTATATAGTTGGGGAAATCGAGATCCAAGTAGAATACACAAAATACATAGCCGCAAATAAAGCCTAACATTTCAACTATGCCAACAGTATCCTAAAAGCAGTAACACAAAAAGAGTGATAGTATTAAGGATCAATCTAAACATACATTAGAATCTCAATATTTCGAGGGAAATGGAGGTTCATTGGATAAAACTAGGGTGGAAGTATTTATTCTCTGCAGCCTTGTTATTTTGGAGGCCAATGAATATTATTCATCTTTCTAGGATGGGTGGTATTCCCTAATCAAGTAGTAACATCATTTATTCATGCATGTGGATATGCTAAGTTGTTTTGAATAATGGCAATTAAGATTTGGAAAAAATAACTTCAGTATAAGTGTATCTATGGGGTTTCCATCTGGATTTCTGGTTCAACCCCACAGAACCCTTTCTCTGCTTGGAATATATAAAAGTACCTGCCTGTAGATGGGCCAAGTGGGCAGGTTCACCAGAAGAACGGGTCTCTCCAGTCTGGGACAAGCCTTTCTGCCCACCAGCCTGCATCCCAAAAGGAGAGAAGGTGCTTTTGGGATTTTCAGGATCTTACTGAGCCCTGGTCAATTCTAATATATTAAAACCACTACCTGCGAAATCCCAAAGGACTGAAGTTTCTTAGAAGTTTTTCTAAAAGTTAACAAAAAATCTTTCTTGTATTTTTTATTGGGAGAACATGGAGAGAGGTGGGGATTGTGCCCTGGCATTCTGTCATTTCATTTTTGAAATAAAATACTTCCTGGACTAACCTCAGCACTTCTACAATATTTTTGTGGAGTTTATAAAATTAACAACAATGAAAAATTCTGCAGAAATATTTCTAAAGTGACCAAAAAATGGATCCATAATAAAGAGTTGATGGGCTTTTCAAATAAAGATTACCTTTTTTGCTTCTGTTGAAGTCTCAGGTTGATTCTTCATCAAAAATAGACTTGGTATTGTCACTGACAGCACAATGCACACTGGCACCCAAGTCACATATAAATTCTGCAGGCTTCTACCCCCTAGTGCTTAAAAACAACCAGGGCAATGGTGAACAACTGCCACAAGCTGCTGAAATGATGTCCAATGGCACACATATTTACTGCAGCTAAATACCACTTATCTAGTATTTAATCTCCAGAATACTTGAGTTTTCAGAATGGTTACACAATAAATGTCATCCAGAAAAAAATATGCTGTTTAGTTAGAACTCAAGATCACTAAGTGCATCTGAGAATAGAAAACCACAGAAAGCAACTGATGGACGGTTGTGATTGGCTGGATCAATTGTAGGAAAGGAAAGTGCTACTTTAATTGCCCAGCTACACATTTACAAGCTCAGTGCATCCATTCTAGTGCTGACAGGCCTTGGGAGGGAACAGCAGACAAGAAAGAAGAAAACTGGAGAAATGAAGTAGGACGATAGCACAGAATAGGATCAGAGGAGATTAAAAGTGGTGTCAGTGGCAACAGTAGCCAACAGAAATTAAAGGCAGCAACAGGGAGTGTGATTCAGGCCGCTGAGAGAAGGAGAGAGGAAGCAAAAAGCCCTGAGCTTGAGACAGATAAAAAGCAAAGAGACTATGAAAAACCCAGGCACCACTGGAACATGCCAAGCAGGTTTCCAGAGATGTAGAAGAGCAGTCATTTAATTGACAAACTCTTACTAAACACCTACATTCTTAGCAACCAAGAATGCAAAACTAAATAATTTATGCCCCTACTCCAAGAGACTATAAATTAAGTCATTACATCCTATGGATATTATCTCCTAAATCTGCATCTAGATGACTCAGAGTTTAAATCAGCAGAGCCAGGTCAAGGTACATTTTGGAAAGCTCTCTGAGGAAAAATCAAAAAGCACTTGATCCATAACTGTTAACTATACAGAGCAGAGTGACTCATTCTCCATGGGCAGTGGCTGGCTATATTCTTACTCTATCAGTTAATGATTAAAGCATGAGAACTTCCAGGAGTGATGGTCAAATTGAACACTCTTGTTCAGGAAGCTAGGAAATACTGGGATGCAGAATCTAAGTAAAAGTGAAAGACAAAACCAAAAACCTCAAGCAAACAAACATACAAAAACCTATGTTTAAGTAGAAAATATGTTTCCTTATAAGCCAGACAATCATCTACCATGGGTTGGTAGGGGCAGGATAGGTCCATGCAGCTTTAACCTCTATGTTCTATTTTTAATTTTTTAGTTATGTTTCATCTGTACTAGGGTTAATATCAGCAGACATCAGACACACAGATATCTGACTGCAACATTCTGGCTAAATCATTCCCACTTGTTTAACATAAAAACTGATGAAGCATTTATTTTAAAACATTTGTAGAGTTATAACTGCAAAGGTGCAGCTCATGGCTTCTCATATATTACAACCACATGTTAAGACAATAGAATTCAATAAAAAATTACCTTCAGACACACTTTGTATTTGAGGGATTCGCTTTATCCCTCAACATTCCAGGTTGGATAGCCCATTGAGCACATGTTCCTTGGTGAAACTTAATTTTTTTTTGAACTCTGCATTGACCCTAAGTTTAACAGTATTCCAAATTCAGTCTACTTTGCCCACAGAATATATTGCAGCTAAGCAAAACTCTGTTCCAGAAACCTCATAAACTGTGTGAGTTGCTCAATTTAGCCCTGAGGGAGTAAATTGAAGAGAGCTGGCCTGTCATACTGTTTTAGACTGTTTGCCACAGAAATTCAGGGTTAGTTCCAGATTGATTAAACTAGTTATGGTGGTGGCTATATATATATATATATACATATACACACACATACATACATACACACACACACACACACACATATAAAAGGTTTGGTGGGGGTAGGGAGCGACACAGGGGAGGAAACTGATTGGGTGTCCTTTAAGTACCAAATGCTTTACTGGAGATTTCCATATCTTTTACAATTCATTCATTCCACCACTATTCGCCGAATGTCGGCTATGTACTCAGTCTTGAGCAAAACTGAGACAGTCCCTGTTCTTATAGAGCTTATGATTCACATAACACCAATTACACTGTAAATCAGCTTGATACATACCTGATATCACCTTAGGTTGATTCTGAAATCTAATCCCTTTACCAGCTGGCTATGTGACCTCAGTCCAGTTTGTTGATGCCTCAATTTCCTCAATTGTATAAAGGAGTTTGCCATGGAAAATAAGTGAGTTCAATGAGCACATAAAAAAGGTCTTTCACCATGCCTGGTACACAACTGGGGGTAATCTTCCTGCCTTCCTCACTCTAGTATCCAGTGGGATTTGTATTTGATTTGTAGATTTGAGTAGCTGTTCTCACCCTTGTAATAGTTACAACCACCAGGGGGCAGTAGAAAAATATGCTCCACACGTCCCAAGGGGAAAAATGGGGCCACTCTCATAGGTACACTGCTAAAAGTAAATTTCATTGTTGGGCTGGCTCATAAATACACATGTGAAGAAACAAACAGTCATTTAAAAACACAGCAGTCAAAGCAAAAATAAAAATAATAGTATTCAGTTATTCAGTGAATCTATACTGCAGGCCTATTCTGCACCAGCCTCTGAACATTAAAATAGTGCCTGTCCCATTGGGTGATATGAAGATTAAATAAGTTACAACAGGACTGACAAATGGTAAGCACTTAAAAACTATTTGTGGCTATCATCTTGTGGAGGATATGTTTTTAGATTAGCCACAAGAGAAAAGTGGTACCGCTTATCACCTGGAGAAACCTCTAAAAGCATTTGACTATTCCTGTCAATCTCTCTCTTACCTTTTTCTGATTAATCATTTCTGTTTATTTTCCTATAACATAGATGTGTTAATGTGTCCAATGACACAGACCAATTGGAAAAAAAAGGTAATAACATGGAATCTAAATGTGCCACATCTAAAAATTCTCAAAGGACTCACTTGGATGGTTGAGAGAAATGTTATGTCTTATCAAAATATGCCTTACTCATTAAAAATAACTCAAAGATGCTCTATTGGTTTTTAAATGAGAAAATGTTCTATTACAAATAGAAGTACCGGAATGAACTATTACCAATCTTACATTTTGTTCTTATGATTCTTTAACCTGTAGTACATGAATTGTGAGAGTATGATTATATCCATGTTCATGTCAAAGATGGCTGTCAAAATCTGGAGTGCTAAATAAGGATGGACATCTATAAATATAAAATCCCAGGTCACCATTATACAATATATATAGTACAGTGTATGAAGGTGACAAAGTCATTTACATGATTAAATACATTAACAAAGTATTCTAAAAGCTTACAAATATTCCACTTTATTTTTTCATTTGAATACTATCATAGAAATATTTGCCTATAGCCACTGACTATATTTTTAATCATGACTCTCATTGTAGACTACATGTCAGCATCAGTGGATTATTGTTCAGTCTTAGTATAGAAAAGAATAAGAATCCCCTAATGGCAACATATCATGTTCAGCTACCTTGAGGCAAGAAAATATTAAAACTGTATGAAGAAAAGAAATTAAAACTGGATGTAGACTTTAAAAATATATCTGAAAACAGACAGGCCTCTATTCTACTATTAAAAAATGCCACATTAAGAGGATTGTCAGATACAGAACACTTATGCAATATTTAGAGCATGTCTATACTAAAAAATTATTTGTTGTTTATCTGAAATCCAAATTTACTGGGTGTCCTGTATTTTCTTTGTTAAATTTGTCAACTCTACACATGAAGCTCTCTATGCACACATAACCCAGAACCTTCACTCTTTTGAAGATAAATCTGGAGAAAGTTTTACCTGAATAGGCAGCTGGTTAGTCAGGTAGCAGCCTTTGAAATTTGTCAGGTCTCCACCTATCCAGCAAAGCAGAAAACCCAGAGAGACTGCTTCATCCACTCTTCCATTTCTGTAGGCTACAAAGAGCTGACTGGAAAGTGACAATTGACAAATAAACACGTGGAGCACAGAACTTAATGAGCTAACTCAACACCAGATAAAAACAAAACCGATGATGTACAGCAATAAAACATCTCATTCACTTCCAGTTAAGCCTCTAGGATTCTTTTTAAACTGTCTTCATTCACAGCACACAGCAAAAATATCTAAAACCTAAAAGAAGCTCAGTGACAATACTAAAACATTAATGCCTCTTATCTCTGCCTTTTCTTTTATCTTTCCCATTGGAATTTATATATATGTCCTAAGCACATGTTTATTCTTTCTTGGCCTCATAATGGGGGAAGATATTAAGTCATGTAATTAGAGATACTAGATATATCACTAAAATGTAAGAATAGAGGTTCAAAATGTTTATCAGTGATTACATTCTCAGCCAGTACCTATTTTTTCTTTTAAATTTACTTCTAATCAAGTTGCCCACACGCAGGTGGACAGGTGGACAAATAGCAAAATCAATGTGAAAATCTATTTGGCTCCCTACGATGCCACCTCTTATGTGGAAAAGTTTTTAAAAATCTTGGGTCCTGGGATCCAAAAGACCTGAAGACATGGCTTGTCACCTGTGGGACATCAGACAATTACTTAATCTCTCAGAATCTTACTTTCCATATCATAAAGTAAGATTAAGTTTTTAAGCCAGAAGTGTTTATTGCAGGAAGTTGACCAAGGTTTGAAATGGGTGGCCCCACTTGAGGCTAAATGATGTCCATAAGCCACCAGTGGTAGAACTGGGAATCAACCTAAATCTCCTGACTCCAAGTTTATAATCTTTCACTACCACATATACTACCTAAAAGTTAATATTTCCGGAATTCACATCGGAGACCATAATCCCACTCACATCAATGCTGAGTTATTCCTCCATTAAGCGGTGGTGAATGGTATATATATCAATGTGGTTTTCAAAAGACTTTTTGTTATGTTTCAGATTTCCAAAGCATCTGAGGACTGACTGTATTCTCTACCTTTCCCCAGTATTTTATAAACAGATGACCTATCTAGGCACACATATTTTACAAATTCCTTTGAAGCAGACCTCTTTTGCTTGATATTTTTTTTTCTAGGGTAGATATAGTTGGTATCTGGCTTCTAATTATAAATAAACTTAGCAAGAATGGAAAACTTTCCCCTGTAGGACTAAACTGCTTGGATTTTTTTTTTTGAAAATTATCCCCATGCCCACAAGAAAAGAATAGCATAATGTAATATCTCACCAAAGACTACTTAAATTTTTGCTCTTATCAAAGAACATATTGAAAAGGAATTCAACATAGGACAGTGAAGAGGTAAGGTACATATGCTTTATTGCCTTTCTGATTACTAAATATAAAAGATTTGTATATCTTAACTAAGAAAAAAGTAGTCAGTATAACGTATTAACAACCTTTCTGTTATATTCCAAAATGTTTTAGAGTGATGCTTTTTAGCACCTTCAAAATATAAAATACAAAGAGAACATTTGTTCAATAGCAAGCCCAAGTAGTTTGAAAAAATACTTAATATAAAAATATTTAAATGTTTTTAAAATAAGAAATTATGAACAAGAGTGTTACACTATAGATTTGAAATCCAAGATTCTTAACTTACGGGAGAGCAACAGACAGAAAACAGGCAATAGAAACCAATTCTATAATCATGCTCCAGTATTCCCAGGAGTTGGACACACATCTTGCAGAAGATGCCAAATCCATATGGTCCCAGTCACACAAATCTTCCTGTCCTCTACTGAGGAGATACACAGTTGCACCTGTGATTCTATAATTAAAGTCTGGATGGTTGATGTTGCTGGTTCTCGGAAAGTGCAATTTAATGTCAGAATGAATATTTCTTTTTTAAAATAATGCCTTGATTCATACTGAAGTTTGGCTACAAATTGTTTTAAAATCTGTAAAAATTAAATATAAATAAATAAATATTGTGTAATATTTTTTCTTAGAAAACTTTGTTGAAAGAAATTAAAGAAGACTTCAATAAATGGGAAGACATTCCATATTCATGGATTGGGAGACTTAATATTGTAAAGATGGCAAAACTACCCAAAGTAATCTACAGATTTAATGCAGTTCTTATCAAAATTCCAACTGCCTCTTTTCCAAAACTGCACAAGTTGATCCTAAAATTCATACAGAATTGCTAAGAATACCAAATAGTCTAAACAACTCTGAATGAAGAGAATAAAGTTAGAGAACTAATACTTTTGAATTTCAAAATGTGTGACAAAGACAGTAATCAAAACAGTGTGGTAATGGCATTAGAAAAGACATATAGATAAATAGAATAGAATGGAGCATCCAAAAATAAAAACATACATCTACGGTCAATTGATTTTGACAAGGGAGCCAAGACCATTCAATAAGGAAAGAATACTTTTATCAACAAATAGCAGTGGGACAACTAGATAACTACATGCAAAAGAATGAAGTTGAACTCTTACCTCACACCATATACAAAAATTAACTCAAAATAGAAAAAAGCTTAAATTTGAGAATCTATATAACTCTGTAAAATCTAGAAAACATAGGGATAAATATGTATGAGCTTGGATTTGGCAACAGATTCTTAGACATGACCCCAAAAGCACAAGCAACAAAAGAAAATATAAATTAGACTTCATCAAAATTTAGAAACTTTCGTGCATCAGAGAACATTATAAAGAAAAGTGAAGAGCCAACCCACAGAATGAATAAGACCTAGTATTTGATATACAACAGGGTGGCTATAGTCAACAATAATTTAATTGTACATTTTGTAATAACTGAAAGAGTATAATTGGATTGTTTATAACATAAATGATAAATGCTTGAGGATATGGATACCTCATTTTTCATGACATGATTATTATTTATTGCATACCTGTATCAAAATACCTCATGTACGCCATAAACATATACATCAATTATGTACATCAATTAAGTAAAAAATAATACAAATTTAAAAATTTTTAAAAGATCACAATGAGACACAATATAATATAATTGTCAAAAGTCAAAGACAAAAAATGAATTTTGAAAACAGCAAGAGAAAAGAGTCATGTCCAAGGGAGCCCCCTGAGACTATCAGTGGATTTCTCAACAGAAACCTTGCAGGCCAGAAGGAAGTGGGATGATATATTCAAAGTACCAAAAGGTTAAAATTTCCGACTAAGAATAGTCTATCTGACAAGGTGTCCTTCAGAAATGAAGGAGAAGGAAAGACTTTCCCAGATAAACTAAAGCTGAAATAATTCAAATTCATCATCATTAGACCTGCCTCATAAGAAACACTACGGAGAGTCCTTCAAGTTGAAATAAAAGGATGCTAGAAAGCAACATGAAAGAATATGGAAGTATAATACTCATAGGAAAAAGGTAAATATATAGACAAATGCAGAGTACTGAAATACTGTAATGATGGTGATAACATTTAACTCTGGTATTTAATTTAAAAATAAATATAACTACAAAATGTTAATAGATACACAATATAAAAAGATGTGACTTGGGAAATCAATAATCTAAAGTGTGTGGGGTAGTAGAAGAAAGAAAATACAGTATTTGTATGCAATTGATGTTAAGGCTGTCATCAACATAAAATAGATTGTCATAAATATAAGATAATTTATGTAAGTCCCATGGTAACCACAAAGAAAACATCTATAAAAAATACAGAAGAGAAAATAATCAAAATGTGCCACTCAAAAAATAAAATCAATGAAAGACAAAGGAAGATAGGAGAAAAGGGACAAAAATGTACAAGATAAACATAAAATAATTAATATAATGTTAATAATAAGTACTTTACTATCAGTAATTACTTTAAATATAAATGGATTAAACTCCTCAAATAAGCCATAAAGTGGCTGAATGGATTTTGAAAAAATATTCAACTGTATGCTGTCTATATGAGACTAACTTCAGATTTAAGGACACACATAGACTGAAAATAAAAGGATGGGAAAAGATATTCTGTTTAAATGGTAATTGAAAAAGACCAGATGTGGCCATAGTTATGTCAGACAAAATAGGATTTAAGTCAAAAACTGTCATAAGAGACAAAGAAAAACAATATATAATGACAAAGGATGAATTAACCAAGAAAATAGAACAATTATAAGTTTGTATGCACCCAAATCAGAGCATCCAAATATATGAAGCAAACACTGACAGAACTGAAGGGAGAAATACTTGTGCAATAATAGTAGGAGATTTGAATACCCCACTTTCAATAATGGATAGAGCAAACCTGATAAAAGATTAATAAGTGACCAGAAAACTTGAACAAGGCTATAGACCAACTGGACCTAACAGATATATATAGAACATTCCACCCAAGAGAAGGAGAATCCATATTCTTTTCAAGAGCACACAGAACATTCTCCAGGATGAATCACCTCAGATCACAAGCAAGCCTTAACAAATTGAAGATTGTAATCATACTAAGTATTATTTCCAACTACAATGAAATGTAACTAGAATATAATAGCAGAAGAAAGAACTGAAAAATTCACAAATATGTGGTAACTAACATAATACTGAATAACAATTGAGTCAAAGAATAAACCGAAGGGAAATTAGAAATTACCTTGAGACAAATGAAAATGGAAACACAACATGCCAAAATTTATGGGATGCAGTAAAATCAGTACTAAGAAAGAACTTTATAGCAGTATATACCTACATTTAAAAAATCTCAAATAAACAGCTTAACTTTACACTTCAAAAAAAAAATTAGAAAAAGAAGAACAAATAAAGCCCCAAGTTAGCAGAAGGATGAAAATAATAACAATTAGGGAAAAATTAATAAAATAAGAGAATAGAATAACAGTAAGAAAAAAATCAACAAAACTAAGGATTTCTTAAAAAGATTAACAAAATTGACCAACCCTTACTTAGCAAGACTATAAAAATGAGAAAACTTAAATAAATGAACTAAAAAATAAAAGACATTGCAACTGATGTCACAGAGATTTAAAAGGATTATGAAACACTACT